TCAATTTATAGCCAGTGCAATATCTCAAGGTACGTATAGTAAAGATTTTCAGAATCTTGTTACACTCAAAAAATTTTGATGTTTTAAAAATTAAGCAAAGTGAAATTTTATGAATTAAACAATTATATTTTAGATATTATAATTTAGATATTAAACAAATTCTTAGTTCTTCTTGCCGGAATCGAAAACTAATGGTCTACGACATTTCTCATTCTAATCGCTCGAGTGAAAAGCAAATATATTAAAATACTACATATTTAGTAAATTAAATTATCTCTACTTCCAGGGTCTACTGGAAGAAAATGCTTATTAGCGTTAAGTTTGCCTTTTGTTTAGCCTTAAGTTGGGGTGTAAATAATATTTTTTTAAATAAATTAAAAGAAATACACGTTTTTGTTAAGTCTGCCAGGCCTTTCCTTAACATTCTTACTTTATTTGTGTAATTCTTCGTAATATTAGAATACATTTAATTAATTTAAAATATAATCTCTCTCATCTACACAATAGGCTGAAGACAGATATACATAAAATATGTATATAAATTATAGCCTACGTGTTATTCTGATGTATAAGCTATATTATTTATTTATTTTATTTATTTATACTTCATTGTTACACCTTAGACTAAAGGCTACAATGGGTGGACTTAATGCCTAGTGGCATTCTCTACCAGTCAACCCTTGTCATATATTATTGTAAAGTTTTGTTAAAATCCACTCAGTAGTATTTGCGTGAAAGAGTAACAAACATCCATCCATATATACAAAATTTCGCCTTTATAATATATGATATTACGAATAGTATCTCTAGTAGTAGTATAGTATCTTTTTATTAGTATTACGAATAGTATCTCATATATAGAATTTATTTCTTTGTAAATCGAAACTTAAACACACCCTACATGCTGCACTTTTAGTTGTGTTTTCATCGATATCTTTAAATAAAGTTCAACATTCTGAAAAAGCTACAGTATTAAACTTGTATATATAACTTGATCAACGAATCAATTGTTTAATAAATGGATTTTATAATATGCTTTATTTTTAAATAATAACGATGGTACTAACTATGAATGTTTGCTATGACATTTATATTTTGTAGCCAGTGGCGGTGGTAGCGCTACCGCCCAGAGCGCCGCTAAGGGTATGTGATTTGTATCTGCACATAATATTTTTTAGAATTATCTGTTTTAATATCTAGTTCAAACTTTTAAATATTGCAGCAACCGGTGGAGGCAGCGCTACCGCTCTAAGTACTGCAAAAGGTAAATAACTTAGAATAAAGAATCTTTTCTGTAAAAAACCTTACTTTGCTTACATTAGAAACAAAAACTGATACTAATAATGATTAAAATGTTCTAATATGATGATTGTAAGTCTAAATTATATACTGCCATTTTCAGTATATAATACTACTAATAATAAATGTAGTCTACATATAATACTGAAAATGTCAGTACATAATTTAGACTTATCGTCAAAATTAATGTAAGTATTTTATAAGTAACATTCCTACACAAATTGAAACAAAATTAAGATTATTATGGAACAAAATAACTTTCTCTTTTCTTAGTTTTGCATTGAATAATATAATAATAGTAAATAATTTTAAAAACATAATTATTTTGCAGCTAATGGCAACGGCTTGGGTGATGCTACAGCAAATGCTCAAAGTGTAGCGCAAGGTATTATTGATTTTGGAGTAATGTCGTAGAGGCCCACTCTACACTTTAAGAAATTTAATTTTTTCTTGAATATAATCACCATCACCATCATCGTTTTCCTCAAACCTCGGCAATGGCTGAGTCATCATATTAAAGTAGTTATTATATTTAAGCTCAGGTGATTCGAATACAAAAACTCAGAATTTCATTCGAATTAAGGGAATGCACGGTAACTTGGCTACCGGAGGTATTCTTTCAGACTATTTTATATAAACTAGTGAGGTAATGGTAATTTATGAAAATTTGAAACAGTTACTTTATATTTGCATAAGTTGTTCACATTTCATAACTTATAATGATCGCCTAGTATTTTAAGACTATGGGTTAATATATAAGTTAACAATGCTATTTATTTTATTTCTATTAACATTATATTTATGCACGGTTAACACCTCAAATATTACAGCAAATGGTTTGGGAGTTGCCCAGAGTCAAGGTATGTTAAAATTTAATTTGAATTAGCTTTAAATGTATTTTCCCAGGAGATGGAATTGTGTCATAACATAAAAATAAATGTTAAAGATTTTAATTTTTCTTTAATGCAGAACTAAAATCTAAAATCGAAATCTGTGTCCAGATTTAAGTAATTAGTGTAACTAAGTAAAAGTAATATTAAGTGTGTACCTATGAAATTGCCGTTTTGTATGAAATAAATGAAAGTTTTTTATTTCTGTCATTCAAAGCAATCACCCATGCAATCGATGCATCTTTGCCAACGCAGTAGTATTTTATTGACGGGAGGCAAAAAACTCTTCAAAGTTACTTTCTCTCGAGAATTGAATGTTTTCCCGCTAAAAACTGGTCCAAATTTTGGAACCCTAACTCTTGCAGCTTAGAGACTGTCTGTTGTGCAGTATTGTCGTGAAGGAGCAGCGGGGACGACCAATTAACCAAAGCTTCATCATTGTCTTCAGTTCTTCAGTACACATCTGCAGTAGTGATGAGCACTACGCCGTTTTGTAAACAATTGTGATGAATAATCTTTCTAGGATTAATTTTTCGTAAAGGGCATTGCTTTGGTGCTAAATCAGGATGTAAGCAACTTGCTGAGCACTTTTGATTGTCGAACAGAATCCATTTTCGTCGTACGTAACAATTCGGTTCAAAAATTCTTCATTTATGAGCCTGTTGAGCAGCGCGAGTCAGGTCTCAACGCGTACGTTGCGCCGATCGTTAAGTTCGTGGGTCACCCATCTCATAGATGTATCAGCGATTGTTGTTGAAGCTGATACATCTGATAGATGTATCAGCTTCAACAATCGCCTTTAATTCATCAACGGAACCGGGAAAACCAATGATAGGTTGTGCGTTCGTTTGTAAAGTTCTCTCCGTAGACGTTGTTGATGTTACGTGCTGTAGCCTATCGGCTAAATTCTAAAATTCTTCTTCTAGGTAGGGTAGGTGGGTTCAAGGATTCGGTATATTTTTTTTAAAGTTTTATTCGTCATACTTCCGCACACGCAGCTAAGTGTGGTGGGTTCACTGGCCTGACGTAGGGTGAGACGTCCAGGAATTGTTCTACGCCGATTTCGAAGCCGTCGGTATCTGGGGGCTCGGGCTCTGTAGTTCGGCCGTATTAATCCGGGCGGCAGCGCTCGGCTAATAATTAGGGTAGGGAGATCCTGGAAGCCAGATGAAGGCAAGCATTAGGGCGGCTTACAAACCCTACTCGAGCTCAGTGTCCCCTTTTATGAAAGCTACACTCTTACGCTAAGCAGCACCAGCAAGAAAATAAATAGAAAGCAGAACAGTTACAATATAGCAATACACAGTTACAATATAGTAATGACAACTCACCCCAGCGGGATCAAGTTGGATTTAACCGTTTTGAGTTTTTAAAAATTAGTCGGTCGTTACTTATCAGTAGCACACAGCACAGTGACCGCTCTGTCTGACGTGCGAAACGTAGTCTCGTTCGATTGGCCCAAACGGGGAGGCGTTCGCGTCACCGAATTTCGCCGAACGCTTCCGAATTTATGGATCCGTTGATATGGCGTGCAGGCTACGCGAATGGATATAATTTGTTTATTTACAAATATTATTAAAAAATGGAAGGGTGCATTTAGATGCAACGTTACAGTGCCGTTTGTGTTGCGTTGGTGCCACAACGGAACTCACACTGAAGATGACTCATATTCGCTATGATCATATTACACGAATTTTTAAAGTATCCATTATGACTTTTCAAATGTAGTGAAAATAAAAAGCTAATCAATGAACAAAAGACAGACTTTGTAAAAGAATTTCATGTTTTTAAAACAAAATAATTTGAATTTAGAATAAACAGCCGATCAAATTTTTTTTTTGTTGAAATGGCCGTACGAAATAAGGGCTATTTCAAAGATAAAAGTACATAAAATAATAAACTGGACATTCCTTACTAAAAATTTGTATTTTTTTCAATACGGTAAGATAATTAATTCAAAGACATTAGTCCAGTTTATTTTATTTTAGTTATTAGTTAGGTCCCGCACTTTACTTATTATATCCATGACCGTACGTTAAATTTCACAGCGCAAAGTGAAGCTACGGGTGCAAATGCTAAAAGTTCTGCATCTTCAATTGCTAGTGCAACAGGTGAATCTCTTTAATAGTAATATATTGATAAATAATTTTCGGTATCTTCAGTAATCTTAAAAGAATGTTAAAATCAAGCTATATTTTTTTTTCAGGGAGTGGCACAGCTAGTGGTTCTGCTTTTGCTTCTGCGACGTCAAGTGCGCTATCCAGTGGTAAATTTTCTTAAGTGGGAAATATTTATAAACTTTTAGCCTTGGCAATATGGCAAAAAAAAAAGAAATACAGTTTAGGTGTTATGTGTTTCATATTTTTAAAATAACAAACACATAAATGTAACATTATATTTTCAATAGTACAAAACGCAGAAAAACATAAGGGCTATTTACACCATGCCGAATCATAAATAATTTACATTTTAAGAATCCAAAATTACTCTCTAAATTTCAATGGAAATTATAGGATTTAAAACAAGAATTTAAACATACATTTTTGGGAATGTTGCTATATAGGGCCTGCTGCTGTACAGGGAACAGAAAATATTAATTCAATTATTTATAATAAATATATGGCTCTAAAATTTTAATGAAAATTTGCTAGATTCACAGTAACGTAGTACTAGTTTAATATATTATTAAATCTTGCAGGCTATGCTTCAAAAAATCATGGAGAATCTGCTAATTCAATACACAGAAGGCGAAAACATAGCAAGGGTAAAGGGCGAAGAAAAAATCCACACAGAGGATCAGGGACAGGAAACATGGGACCCAGTGGAAGTAACGGGTCTGGGGGAACAAAAAGTGTTAATGGTCCCTCAGAGTCTGGGTCCGGACGTGGGAGTACTGAATCTGGAGGTAACAACGGAAAGGGACCTCAAGGACCTGGTTCAGAACCTGTAGGAAAAGAACCAGGAGGTGGACCACAAGGACCCGGGTCTAGTCCTGAAGGAAAAGGACCTGGTGGAAGTAACGGAAAAGGATCACAAGGACCAAGTTCCGGACCTGGAAGCAATGAATCTGGTGGTAACAACGGAATGGGACCTCAGGGACCTGGGTCGAGCCCTGGCGGAAAAGGGCCAGGGTCCGGACCTGGGAGCAATGAATCTGGCGGTAACAACGGAAAGGGACCTCAAGGACCTGGTTCAGAACCAGTAGGAAAAGGGCCAGGTGGTGGATCACAAGGACCCGGGTCAACTCCGGAAGAAAAAGGACCAGGTGGAAACAATGGAAAAGGACCAGAAGGTACTGGATCAGGACCTGGGGGCAAAGACTCTGGTGGGAACAACGGAATGGGACCTCAGGGACCTGGGTCAAGTCCTGGTGGAAAAGGGCCAGGGTCCGGACCTGGGAGCAATGAATCTGGTGGTAACAACGGAAAGGGACCTCAAGGACCTGGTTCAGAACCAGTAGGAAAGGACCAGGCGGTGGATCACAAGGACCCGGGTCAACTCCGGAAGAAAAAGGACCAGGTGGAAACCTGGGAATCAGTACCCAATGGAAAAGGACCAGAAGGTACTGGATCAGGACCTGGGGGCAAAGACTCTGGTGGGAACAACGGAAGGGACCTCAGGGACCTGGGTCAAGTCCTGGTGGAAAAGGGCCAGGGTCCGGACCTGGGAGCAATGAATCTGGTGGTAACAACGGAAAGGGACCTCAAGGACCTGGTTCAGAACCAGTAGGAAAAGGACCAGGTGGTGGATCACAAGGACCCGGGTCTACTCCGGAAGAAAAAGGTGCAGATGGGAACAATGGAAAAGGACCACAAGGTACTGGATCAGGACCTGGGGGAAAAGACTCTGGTGGGAACAACGGAATGGGACCTCAGGGACCTGGGTCAAGTCCCGATGGAAAAGGGCCAGGGTCCGGACCTGGGAGCAATGAATCTGGCGGTAACAACGGAAAGGGACCTCAAGGACCTGGTTCAGAACCAGTAGGAAAAGGACCAGGCGGTGGATCAAAAGGACCCGGGTCTAGTCCTGGAGGAAAAGGACAAGGCGGAAATAAAGGAAAAGGACCCAAAGGACCGGGATCTGTACCCGGAGGAAATCATGGAAAAGGACCAAAAGGGCCCGGGTCAAGTAATGGAGGAAAAGGACCAGGAAAGGGACCTCAAGGACCTGGGTCTAGTCCTGGAGGAACAGCACCAGGTAAGGGACCACAAGGACCCGGGTCTACTCCGGAAGAAAAAGGTGCAGGTGGAAACAATGGAAAAGGACCACAAGGTACTGGATCAAAATCTGACTGGGGGCAAAATGGGACCTCAGGACCTGGTTCAGAACCGGGTGGGCCAGGGTCCTCGGACCGGGTAACAACGGAAAGGACCTCAAGGTACGGAAGGACCTGGGACCTGGTGGGAACAGGAATGGGACCCTGGTCAACCTGGGTCAAGTCCTGGTGGAAAAGGGCCAGGGTCCGGACCTGGGAGCAATGAATCTGGTGGTAACAACGGAAAGGGACCTCAAGGACCTGGTTCAGAACCAGTAGGAAAAGGACCAGGTGGTGGATCACAAGGACCCGGGTCAACTCCGGAAGAAAAAGGACCAGGTGGAAACAATGGAAAAGGACCAGAAGGTACTGGATCAGGACCTGGGGGCAAAGACTCTGGTGGGAACAACGGAATGGGACCTCAGGGACCTGGGTCAAGTCCTGGTGGAAAAGGGCCAGGGTCCGGACCTGGGAGCAATGAATCTGGCGGTAACAACGGAAAGGGACCTCAAGGACCTGGTTCAGAACCAGTAGGAAAAGGACCAGGCGGTGGATCAAAAGGACCCGGGTCTAGTCCTGGAGGAAAAGGACAAGGCGGAAATAAAGGAAAAGGACCCAAAGGACCGGGATCAGTACCCGGAGGAAATCATGGAAAAGGACCAAAAGGGCCCGGGTCAAGTAATGGAGGAAAAGGACCAGGAAAGGAACCTCAAGGACCTGGGTCTAGTCCTGGAGGAACAGCACCAGGTAAAGGACCACAAGGACCCGGGTCTAGTCCTGAAGGAAAAGGACCTGGGTCGAGCCCTGGCGGAAAAGGGCCAGGGTCCGGACCTGGGAGCAATGAATCTGGCGGTAACAACGGAAAGGGACCTCAAGGACCTGGTTCAGAACCAGTAGGAAAAGGACCAGGTGGTGGATCACAAGGACCCGGGTCTAGTCCGGAAGAAAAAGGTGCAGGTGGAAACAATGGAAAAGGACCACAAGGTCCCGGGTCTACTCCGGAAGAAAAAGGTGCAGGTGGAAACAATGGAAAAGGACCACAAGGTACTGGATCAGGACCTGGGGGAAAAGACTCTGGTGGGAACAACGGAATGGGACCTCAGGGACCTGGGTCAAGTCCCGATGGAAAAGGGCCAGGGTCCGGACCTGGGAGCAATGAATCTGGCGGTAACAACGGAAAGGGACCTCAAGGACCTGGTTCAGAACCAGTAGGAAAAGGACCAGGCGGTGGATCAAAAGGACCCGGGTCTAGTCCTGGAGGAAAAGGACAAGGCGGAAATAAAGGAAAAGGATCCAAAGGACCGGGATCAGTACCCGGAGGAAATCATGGAAAAGGACCAAAAGGGCCCGGGTCAAGTAATGGAGGAAAAGGACCAGGAAAGGGACCTCAAGGACCTGGGTCTAGTCCTGGAGGAACAGCACCAGGTAAAGGACCACAAGGACCCGGGTCTAGTCCTGAAGGAAAAGGACCTGGGTCAGGAAAAGAGTAACGGAAAAGGATCACAAGGACCAAGTTCCGGACCTGGAAGCAATGAATCTGGCGGTAACAACGGAAAGGGACCTCAAGGACCTGGTTCAGAACCAGTAGGAAAAGGACCAGGCGGTGGATCAAAAGGACCCGGGTCTAGTCCTGGAGGAAAAGGACAAGGCGGAAATAAAGGAAAAGGATCCAAAGGACCGGGATCAGTACCCGGAGGAAATCATGGAAAAGGACCAAAAGGGCCCGGGTCAAGTAATGGAGGAAAAGGACCAGGAAAGGAACCTCAAGGACCTGGGTCTAGTCCTGGAGGAACAGCACCAGGTAAAGGACCACAAGGACCCGGGTCTAGTCCTGAAGGAAAAGGACCTGGTGGAAGTAACGGAAAAGGATCACAAGGACCAAGTTCCGGACCTGGAAGCAATGAATCTGATGGTAACAACGGAATGGAAGCAACCTGGGTCGAGCCCTGGAAAAGGGCCAGGGTCCGGACCTGGGAAATGAATCTGGAACAACGGAAAGGGACCTCAAGGACTTGGTGCAACCAGTAGGAAAAGGACCAGGCGGTGGATCAAAAGGACCCGAATCTAGTCCTGGAGGAAAAGGACAGGGCGGAAATAAAGGAAAAGGATCCAAAGGACCGGGTACCCGGAGGAAATCATGGGACCAAAAGGGCCCGGTCAGGAAAAGGACCTGGGAAAGGAACCTCGACCTGGGTCTAGTCCTGGAGGAACAGCACCAGGTAAAAGGACCACAAGGACCCGGGTCTAGTCTGGAAGGAAAAGGACCTGAAGAACGGAAAAAGGATCAAGGACCAAGTCCGGACCTGGAAGCAATGAATCTGGTGGTAACAACGGAATGGAAAGGGACCTGGGTCGAGCCCTGGCGGAAAGGGCCAGGGTCCGGACCTGGGAGCAATGAATCAACAACGGAAAGGGACCTCAAGGAAACCAGTAGAAAGGACCAGGCGGTGGATCAAAAGGACCCGGGTCTAGTCCTGGAGGAAAAGGACAAGGCGGAAATAAAGGAAAAGGATCCAAAGGACCGGGATCAGTACCCGGAGGAAATCATGGAAAAGGACCAAAAGGGCCCGGGTCAAGTAATGGAGGAAAAGGACCAGGAAAGGAACCTGAAGGAAGGAACCACCAGAAGGACCACAAGGACCCGGGTCTAGTCCTGGAAAGGACCTGGTGGAAGTAACGGAAAAGGATCAGGACCCAATGAATCTGGTGGTAACAACGGAATGGGACCTCAGGGACCTGGGTCGAGCCCTGGCGGAAAAGGGCCAGGGTCCGGACCTGGGAGCAATGAATCTGGCGGTAACAACGGAAAGGGACCTCAAGGACCTGGTTCAGAACCAGTAGGAAAAGGACCAGGTGGTGGATCACAAGGACCCGGGTCAACTCCGGAAGAAAAAGGACCAGGTGGAAACAATGGAAAAGGACCACAAGGTACTGGATCAGGACCTGGGGGCAAAGACTCTGGTGGAAACAACGGAAAGGGACCTCAAGGACCTGGGTCAAGTCCTGGTGGAAAAGGGCCAGGGTCCGGACCTGGGAGCAATGAATCTGGCGGTAACAACGGAAAGGGACCTCAAGGACCTGGTTCAGAACCAGTAGGAAAAGGACCAGGCGGTGGATCAAAAGGACCCGGGTCTAGTCCTGGAGGAAAAGGACAAGGCGGAAATAAAGGAAAAGGATCCAAAGGACCGGGATCAGTACCCGGAGGAAATCATGGAAAAGGACCAAAAGGGCCCGGGTCAAGTAATGGAGGAAAAGGACCAGGAAAGGAACCTCAAGGACCTGGGTCTAGTCCTGGAGGAACAGCACCAGGTAAAGGACCACAAGGACCCGGGTCTAGTCCTGAAGGAAAAGGACCTGGTGGAAGTAACGGAAAAGGATCTCAAGGACCAAGTTCCGGACCTGGAAGCAATGAATCTGGCGGTAACAAAGAAAAAGGACCTCAAGGACCTGGTTCAGAACCTGTAGGAAAAGGACCAGGCGGTGGATCAAAAGGACCCGGGTCTAGTCCTGGAGGAAAAGGACCAGGTGGAAGTAACGGAAAAGAACGACAAGGACCTGGTTCCGGACCTGGGAGCAATGAATCTGGTGGTAACAACGGAATGGGACCTCAGGGACCTGGGTCGAGTCCTGGTGGAAAAGGGCCAGCGTCCGAACCTGGAAGCAATGAATCTGGCGGTAATAAAGGAAAAGGACCCCAAGGACCTGGTTCAGAACCTGTAGGAAAAGGACCAGGCGGTGGATCAAAAGGACCCGGTTCTAGTCCTGGAGGAAAAGGACCAGGCGGAAATAAAGGAAAAGGGTCCAAAGGACCGGGATCAGTACCCGAAGGAAATCATGGAAAGGGGCCAAAAGGACCGATATCTGGACCTGTTGGTAAAGGTCCAGGTGGTGGATCTAAAGGTCCTGGGTCCAGTCCCGGAGGAAAAGGACCGGGTAATGGACCTCAAATACCCGGGTCTAGTCCTGGAGGAAAAGGAACCAGGCGGAAGTGGCGCTAAAGGACCTAAAGGACCTGGGTCCAGTCCTGGAGGAAAAGGACCAGGTGATAATAAAGGAAAAGGATCTAAAGGACCGGGATCAGTACCCGGAGGAAATCATGGAAAAGGACCAAAAGGGTCGGGAGCTGGCAAAGGACTTGGTGGTGGATCACAGGGACCCGGGTCCAGTCCTGGTGGGAAAGGACCGGGTGGAAGTACCGGTAAAGGACCTCAAGGGCCAGGCTCAGAACCTGTAGGAAAAGGACCAGGCGGTGGATCACAAGGTCCTGGGTCTACTCCTGAAGGAAAAGGACCGGGTGGAAGTAATGGAAAAGGACCTAAAGGACCTGGTTCAGAACCTGTAGGAAAAGGACCAGGCGGTGGATCAAAAGGACCCGGGTCCAGTCCTGGAGGAAAAGGACCGGGCGGAAATAAAGGAAAAGGGTCCAAAGGACCGGGATCAGTACCCGCAGGAAATCATGGAAAAGGACCAAAAGGACCGATATCTGGACCTATCGGTAAAGGTCCAGGTGGTAGATCTAAAGGTCCCGGGTCCAGTCCCGGAGAAACAGGACCGGCTAAGGGACCACAAATACCCGGGTCTAGTTCTGGAGGAAAAACATCAGGAAAGGGACCGCAAGGACCCGGGTCTAGTGCTGGAGGAAAAGGACCAGGTGGAAGTGGCGCTAAAGGACCTAAAGGACCTGGGTCTAGTCCTGGAGGAAAAGGACCAGGCGATAATAAAGGAAAAGGACCCAAAGGACCGGGATTAGTACCCGGAGGAAATCATGGAAAAGGACCAAAGGGACCGGGAGCTGGGAAAGGACCTGGTGGGGGATCTCAAGTACCTGGGTCTAACCCTGGTGAGAAAGGATCAGGAGGTAGTACTGGTAAAGGACCTCAAGGACCTGGGTCTAGTTCTGGAGGAAAAGGACCAAGCGATAATAAAGGAAAAGGACCCAAAGGACCGGGATCAGTACCCGGAGGCAATCATGGTACAGGACCAAATGGACCGGGAGCCGGGAAAGGACCTGGTGGTGGATCACAAGGACCCGGGTCTAGTCCTGGTGGGAAAGGACCAGGTGGAAGTAGTACCGGTAAAGGGCCTCAAAGACCAGGCTCAGAACCTGTAGGAAAAGGACCAGGCGGTGGATCACAAGGTCCTGGGTCTACTTCTGAAGGAAAAGGACCGGGTGGAAGTAATGGAAAAAGACCACAAGGTCCTGGGTCGGGACCTGGGAGCAATGAATCTGGCGGTAACGACGGAAAGGGAACTCAAGGTCCTGGGTCTAGTCCTGGAGGAAAAGGACCAGGCGGTGGATCACAAGGAAAAGGATCAGGTGGAAATACAGGAACAGGGTCGGTAAAACCCCCAGGACCTCCTGGTCCACCACGTCCACCTGTCGAACCTAAAGGCTGTCCTGTTATATTCTACCGTCCAGGTAATATCTATAGGAGGCGTAGGACTCTGTTGAAGATCCCAGTATTTAGTCGTCTAGGAAAGGATACGGTTTACGGACGAGGTTTGCATCTTTCGTTTATTAATTTATCATTTCATCTGCGTTATATAACTTTTTCTTAGTACTTTTTATTATTTTTATTTTTACTACTTGTCTCTGCACTTAAGATGAAACATTAAAATATGTAGGAAAATGATTCACGCCCAGACGCTTCAACCATAAAACGAACGGCTGGTTTCCATACCGACGAAAACCTCAAGGTTTTTTATCTATATCACTACATAAAACAAAGTCGTCCCTCTTTCTGTCTGTCCCTATGTATGCTTAGATCTTTAAAACCATGCAACTGATCTTGATCGGTTTTTTTTCCTTGATAGAGTGTGTTGTTGATTCAAGAGGAAGGTTTATATGTATAATACATTGCACCCGTCTCAAGTTGGGGCGGGTCGCTAGTTAATTATATTTCAAACAATACTTGATGCATCTATTCTTTACAGCCTACAAACAATTTCAAATCGTTTTACAACAATAATTCAAATGACAGATGTGGTAATCAGCCATTTAGCTTAGTTAAAGGGTCTGGGCGCGCTTCCGGAAGACGTGGATTTGATTGCTGCACCAGCGAGAAACTTTTCGTCCATTTTTACCACTTTTATTATGTTATTAAAGATCACGGCTTTTATATTAACAATTTTCTTTTATAATTTTTTTTCAGACTATAACAGCGACAATGGCTATACATATCGTGATTATTTATCTGGTCAAAAACTTTGTCCTTGTTCAAATTAGTAAGTACCTAGTTTAAGTAAATCAATATTATTTTGAAATGAAATTAAAGTAAATCACATCAGAAGTTAGAATATTTCAGTAAAACTTGTGTTTAAAACTAGGATAATGCAAATTACATTGTAAACTATTGGATGAACAATCAACAAATAATAATAACCATTTTGAAATGTCGTTTCAGATCTCATGTTATAGAGAGTAATTAAGGATAACATGGCATTTGTTTAACCCAAAATAATGGCTACGAAAACGGACCTTGATTATTTCACTGACATTTTTTAAATTTTTTATTATTTTAAAATGACAAACTCATTGGTGAAACGTAATAAATACCTATGCGAGCATGCTTATTTTGTTGTTTTATTTATACTACAATGGAAGTTTTTGTTAGGGCTTGCTTATAACACATTCGATATTTTCCAGTTAACAGCTTCATTACTATTAGTTTTCGTGTGAACATTTATATAGAAAAAATTTACAACCTTCATAAAGCCTATTAAACATAAAAAATACATTTAGGATATGGAAACAAATCATTATCTACATATATAATAAATATAATTGCCTGTACATGGAAGATATTTGAGAAAAACTTAAAGAGAGATTATTGGGGGCCTATATCAACGCAATAGAACCCAAAACAATAATTGTTTAAATTTTTGTATGTTTGTCGGCGCGATTGTGCGCGCTAATCTCAGAAATGGCAACCGATTTATATGAAATCAATAATGCATTGCTTAATATTTAGTGTTAGCTTCACTTCACTAAATTCACTAAATATTTAGTGTTACTTTTATCTTAAATCGATTCATAAATAAAAAAAAAATATGTATCAAACTAGCGGCCAATTTTAAATTAAAAATTACCATTCATACACATAAAAGCTTCTGAATATTTCGTCTTTGGTGAATAATTTTATGAATTTCTTCATCTTTAAATGGAATACCCCTAAAATTACGTCATGATGATCGAAAGACCCCTAACCAGAAAATAGTTCCGTTTTAATTTAAGGGCAATTCGAGGTTACACGTAAAAGTGACAAATAAGAATGGGTTTTTTAATGCAGATGACGCGGAGAACCTGTGAATGCGTTTACCAATATCAACATTTTCGTCTTGATTTAAATCGTCCCTAAGATGAATGTTTCACCAGCCCCCAGTCTCTGGTGATTACGACATAAATGATTTAATTTAGTCTTTCTGATATCATTTTTGCTATCATATTGACAATATATTGACTAAAAACTAGCCAAGGGCGAATCGGACTCGCATACGAAGGATTTCCGTACCATTCAAATTCAAATATCTTTATTCAATATAGAAGTATTACACTTACTTATTGTCAAAAAACACAACTATTATCTATGAAAACGGCAAAAAATTATGTCTGTTGTATGGGAGCCCCACTTTTTTTTATTTTTTAGTATTTGTTTTTATAGCGGAGATTGAGATACAGCCTGGGGACAGACGGACGGACGGACGGACGGACGGACGGACGGACGGACGGACGGACGGAGGACGACAGACAGACAGACAGACAGACAGACAGACAGACAGACAGACAGACAGACAGACAGACAGACAGACAGACAGACAGACAGACAGAAGAGACAGACAGCGGAGTCTTAGTTATAGGGTGCCGTTTTACCCCTTGGGTACGGAACCCTATTAAGTTCCTGTAATAATGCAATAGATTAAAACAGGTAGATCTAACCATCAAACTAAATGCATAAAACTGCATGCATGTCAAAGTTTTGTTACGCACTGTACCTTGCTGAGGAATAGTCAAATAATAATCGTCTTCTCCCGTTACGAACATTAAGGGATATTGTGTTTTAAGATCGCCGTATCTACCGTGCAACACTATATTTATTTATTTATTTTTAAGAACCACCAACGTGTTACATCCCTAAGACATATAAGGATTGCTGAATAGAATAACGTCAAAGGAATTTCGAATTTACTGTACTGAAATCGACCGGACTTAGTTTCATTATATAGAGTAATTAGCTATAAGTTCACTATTTTCATAATTAACGGAATAACATGTTGTTTTGTAATTAAATCTGACAATAGCCGAAGGAACTAAGATTTACATGACATCTCTAAGGCCTTATCAGGTTTTCATACCCAAAGGGTAAAACGGGACCCTATTACTACGACTCCGCTGTCTGTCTGTCTGTCCGTCTGTCACCAGGCTGTATCTCATGAACCGTGATAGTTAGACAGTTAAAAGATGATCTGGGTGTTTATTTTCCAAGGAGGGTTGAAGTCAGGCACGCGACTGGTTGTAAAAATAGAGCCAAAACCTCTAACAACATGATTCATGTTGTGCCGACCCCACCTTTTTTTTGTTAACGTACGGGAAATGCCTACGGATGCCCACCTCGCGGGGGCAAGAGCGGGCTCGGACTCGCACCGACTAAAACTCACACGATGTTCCACCTAGACGCGTAAAGGCAGGGCCACGGGAACGCTTTCGCGCAATTTCGCGACCGTGCCAGCGCTGGCCACCTAAGCAGCCCCCTCCCGGAGAGCAACTTTCCTCTCCTCCAGGTAGGGTGCGCTGGAAAATTAAGCGCCCCTTCCTACTCGGCCACATATTTACGACCAATGAACTCCGCCGAGTTCACTGACCAGGGCCATGGGAGCCAGGAGCCAGCGCTAATAAATAGCAAGCCTCCCAGCCCCCAGCGGCGGACCTAGTCTGTGGCTCCACCGCTCACCACGTTTCGGCCGCGGAGGGTAGGGAAAACGGCGCATCGCAGAGCTGACCCCACCTAGGTGGGATAAGGGCAGGAGGATGATGATGACTTGTATACTTGTCCCTCTCTTTTAAAATTTGGCATGAAATTTTGTTCCATAATTTCTATCGCGCCAAAGGAAGTCATTTCAAAGAGGCTATTGTACTTTCGTAAGTAAAAATGTCCAGATAGTGAATGACGTTTGTTGTCTTTGTCTCTGATCTCGTAGGCGTTAGGAACGCTCAGAGCTCGATTCCCTGGTGTGAGTTTATATATTTTTAATATTTTTCTCTTCAAGCCGCTGCAAACACTCTACTCGACTCTCTCCGACTTGTAAGACGATTTTCACTTTCCGATGAAGATTTCTCATTACGACGAATTTTGATGCCTTTGCTGGGAACTATTTCTAGAAAGATGACATCTTGATCTTTTGGACATTTTAAAATTAAAAAAAAAAATTACTTTGTACTAAATTATTTGCTAACTGTTGAACAGGAATTACCTATATACACTGATTGAAAAATTATAAGAACTACTAAGTCAGTAAGAACAACTAAGCTTTTTGGATAGTTTAATTACAATATACTAACATTTTAAACTTGTGATATCTTTCGAATGGAATGTCCGAATTTAATAATTCAAATGTTATAAAAAGATATTGAAAGAGTCTTAAATATAAAGTAACTTATTTTTATAAGGATTAATACCAAGATAGAAATAAAGAGCCTTTTCTAGCGGCGGCATTTCAATCAAAATTTTAAAATAAAAGAACTCTTATTGTGACATAACTATAATAGTTAGACATATGCTGTCTCGACACTTTTTGTGAATAATGATGTGTTCTACAAATTCGTAACACATTATTTTATTCTATCATCAATAGTTTCTGCAGCGCACGCGATGTAAAGAATATTTTATGTAATTTTTGTTCACCTTGAGTAACATTGTTGGAGTTTTAGTAAGGATCCCTAATTTCTAATAAAAAATAATTTTATCTAATTATAGATTTAAAAAAATATTTTAGAAAAGTATTTAAATGTGAAAAACGCTTAAATAATGGGATATAATAAAATGAAATTCACTATTCCCTTATTTAATTGATTTTGTGTACCTTTGAATAAGAATTGCGAAGTTTAATTTCATACGATAAACAAAAATTATACAGTTCACCTGTCTAATTACATTGCCCAAGATGGGGTAGCATTATTCATACTGACCGGGAAAAGTGATTACTTATGCAGTTTAATTTACATTGATGAATGAATGAATGAATGTTTGCCCATTTGATACGGGTGTTGCGTATAATCATAGTGACCTATCAAATCCTCCATCATAACAAAACATTAGCACAAGTTTAATCGAAAAAAAAAAATAG